TAATTCTCTTCATCAGATTTTGAATTGTTTTAATAGAGTGTTGTGTTTAAGTCTTTATTGATTTGTGCATTGTACACAAAGTATCTTGGCAAACTGCAAATCATAATAATAAACTTCATCTCACGTAATGCCTTTAAACGTTGCATCTCAAAGTGTTTTACAGTAGGTTTAAAAAAACAATTATAAGAATAACACATTACAGAATAATCATACTGTATAAGAAACACAAGCCGAAAGAGTCACAGCAGAAAATTTGTGGTCATTATAAAATGGAGAAGACACAGACACTAATACAATAGATAATGGCCTTTCAAGTGTCCCAATACTAATAGTCTCTTGAAGCCACCATTTTAAACACGAAGCAGATTTTTGTTCTGCTATGATCAAAATGTACAGTTTGTAACTTGTACCTCCCAAAATATAAAGTATGTTAATCTCATCATCTGGTGGATTTAGTTCCCTTCAAAGGGATATAATTGCAAATTCAAATTATTTGCAAAAATGACAGTTTTGATTGTGCTGTCACAGTACTTTTGAAGGGAACTGAAACCACCAGATGATAGTTTGCATACAGTTTCATCCTCCTTAAAAAGATGTTTGACGTAATGTCTGAGCAATCTCTGACAAGGTATTCTCTGAAATAGCTTTAATATTCTCTAGTGATGGTTTACTATTGCAGGTCCACATGAAGGAGATCCAGGGAGATACTGTAAATTCTCACCACTCCTGTGTGCAGAACAGTGGGTGAAAGCTTTGTTCCACTCTAAGACAGGTTTGAAGCCCTGATTTGTCATTTGCCTCGGCTGATTTGTCAGTAATAACTAAAATCACTTTCACCTCTTTAGCCATGGCTCAGGTTCAGTAAATTGTTTGGTGTGTTAGCATTTTAGGAAATGTACAGTAGCTATCACTGTTCATTCAGCATCCCCATCTTTAAGACATAATACCAGGCAAAGGAAGATTTAAGGAACACCTATATATCCAACTGAATTTTCTTGCACAATAGGACTTTAGCAGTTTGCTGTTGACTTACATTGGGATTAAAACAAGTCATATACAGTAGCTTAGTTTGTGGTAAGTGTAGACGATATTTGACAACACAGCATTTACATTCTCCATAAATAAAATCAGTGCCACAGTTCAAAGGATAAAATTGCCTTTTTGTGGGTCAAGTGTTTTTAACCCTAACCCTAACCCTAAGGCTTGTTTAGTATTTAAAACCCTACGGTATGTTATTTTGAAACTTTGATATTTGTAATGGTTTGCACAGTGGCACAGCAGTTGCCTCGCAGAGTTGATACCTTGGGTTCGATTCTGGACCTGGTGTTCTGGGTTTCCCCCAGAGTTTAGAGACTTTAGGGTTGGCTTCTGGGAAAAATGGACCCAGGTGTGAGTGGGTGTGTCTCTGTGTCTGTGTCTGTGTGTGTTTGTGTCTGTGTTACATGGACTGGCGTCTCTGTCAAAAGTGTACCCCTCCTTGCTTGCTGAGATAGACTCCCCAGCAGCCCTGAACTGGGTGAAACGTTTAGAAAATGGATGGATATTTGAAACGATAAATATAATGAATTGCAAATGAAATGCACAACTGATGTGCACAACTGATGTGGCTAATTCTGGGTTTTAAGCAGGTTCCACTCCACATTTTCACAGCACTTCGGCTTTGGCTTGGTTGCCGATTGAAATCAGTTGGAGTGAATCGAACCGATTAGGGAGCTCATGGTCGGCCACAGAACAACCAATATTGTCAATGGGGTGCTTGTGGGAGTGGGCAGTATCTGTGGGGTGGTGGCTTTTTGCATTTAAATTCCTTTGCATCTGTTCAATATGCATAGTGTGACATAGAGGTGATCAACCTGACAGCCATCACTCAAAGGATGCTTCAGGTTGTCTTCTTGTCTTCCTTTTATTCCAGATCAGAGCAAGAGCCATGTGGCAAATTGTTTTGATTGTGAATTCCAAGTTGGAAATTTAGAGGGGGCCACTTCAAAATGTAACACTAGATTCACCCAGTAAAACGAAGCAATGTCCCATTTTGCAATTAAAAAGAAAAGATAAATCATCTCCTCATTTACTTGCTGATGGAGGGATTCCTGTACAGTATATTTGGAACCTGTTGTGACACTACAGAAAAACTGAACCCTATAGGCTAGTTTGGGTTAAGAGCCATGAAAAGAGGTTGTCCCTCTGCAACAAGCTTGTCAAAAAATTATTTTGACAATGAAGCTCTAATTCAGGCCACTAGCTATTTTGTTTGGTACAAAGGTACTTATTTATAAAAAACAGAATGTGAGTTCTTAACAGAGGCAATACAGATTTAATTGGAATGCATTTCACACAAAGACCATATTGGCAATTAATGAATTGTTTTAGTCAAAGGGGCACTAGCAGAATCATTTCTTCAATTTATGTTTAGCGGTTTAGCAAAATCACCAGATTAGTTTTAATAAGAAATCTCTTACTGCTTGTGGACTCATACATTTTTAATTTGTAACTGTGTGACACAAAAATGTTTCATTGAAATGAAGGGGGTTTGAGTGCATTTCCTGTTGTTCAGTGTAAAGACATCTAAGGTACTGTAGCATTGACATGTTTGCTTAAAATTCCAAACTATCTTGCCTAATTTACAGTACTCATGCGTAACAGACACAACCACTTGCTTACTGAAGGGAAAACATGTTACAAAATTAAACATCAATTTGAGTTATATTTTAGAAGGAAACTTAATTTTCCCCAAGGCACTTTTATAAATTGACAGTTTATGTGATTGGCTCACAGTAGTTTTAAATGCCGTAGTAGTAAACTAAATGCTTCATTGTGTGGAAAGAAACCACATACTGTCAGAATGTATCGGTCTTCCATACATACACACAGTAACTGGCTTTGGAAACACTTTAAATTGGGGATTGGAAATTGCAATTCTAAACACTTAATAAAATACATTTACAAAATAATAATAGAGTGATATATTGTATGTGTGATATCATTCGATATCAGTGGTTCCCAATCCAAGTCCTGGTGACAAACACACCTATTGGTTTTTGTTCCAGCCTAGCCCTAAGCTACACAATCAAACACTTCATTCACATAATAATAATCATCATCATCATCATCATCATCACCTTTTTTAAGACTACTTATTCCTTTGTAACTTGCATGCTAATGTAGCTTCCTAATCTAATTTTACCACTTGGTTAATTCCGATCATGGCTTTAACTCATTAACTGTTTGTTCCCAGTTCTTAAACATGTCGGAGATTAACCGATGTTAAAAGTCCCAAACTTGAGAGTAGAAACGAACATATTAAATTGAAGCAATTTCTTAGATTAAGTAAGGTTTCAATTATCTATTGAAGGTGGGATGGTGAAAAGTGGCAGGTGTGCAAACCCTAACAGTAACTGGCTTCCACACAGTAATGCAATAACAGCTGCCTGCACAGGTACACTATTAGCCTTCATTTTTTAATTCCGCTATGGTTATTTAATTACACAGGTTTATCAGTGTTGTGTACATAATAAAACAGATAAAACACTTAAAATACATCCCAGAAAACTTTATATTTGATGTTTTGATATTACAAAAATAAAAAAGTTACATTGGATGTATATTTGATTAATTATTTATTAGCTACAAAATATACCAGATAGCAAGATATTTTTTTAATGTCATGGACATATTAACACAACAACACAAGGTGAATTATTATACAATCCAGATTATGAAAAAAAAGACATGGTGTTATACAGTACATCAGGTTGAATAGATTGATTATATATATCTGCCAATAATTAATTCATGCAAATCTTCTTAAAACACACTTCATTTCAGTTCCAGATATATTGAATCTAATTTCGGTGGAGTCTTCTGAAGTGATTAAGGGAAATATTCCAGATATTTTTAGCTCACACTAAAAATGACATTTAACCTAGACTGTAACGATTGTGTCTGCAACGGGTTTTAATAATCAGATTCAGTGAGAAATTAATTTGTAACTCAGTTCATCAAGTATTCTCATTACACAGATTAAATGAGGTTTTCTTTCATACCTAGCAAGATGAAATTGGAAGTGGTCTTGAACCCCTTTAGAATTCTTTACCTTTTATCACAAAACAACTCCTTTAATAATTCATTGGATTTGTGTTGTTGTGTGTAAACAGTTTTAATTCATTCATACCCTGTGTAATCACAATACACCCATTATTCAGTTTCTGAATATCTTTTCCTTGTGAAAACGTGTAAACCAAAATCTTAAATTTCCTTAAAAATCCAATATCACTTGTTTTACCCTAATACAGCCCTGAATCATCAAAGTAAAAACCTTGTTGTTTGTTCAGAATAATTACCAGATTTACCTTTGTGCAGTAGTTAACAAGATAAATATAATCTATAAAATGTATAAAAATTCTAAGAACACAGATCATGAACTTAGTTGTGGGAGGTCAGAATGGCATTTCTATTTCCCTTTTGAACAATGTGACCGTGTTAAACAAATACAAACGTGTTAAATGGGTGTTTAAATAGAGGGAAGGGCGTATTTATCTAACTATAATGCCATAAACATGATGAACCTTAAGATATTCTTATAAATGTGCCCAAACTCACATACAATTGCATTTAACACAGTATACTGTAGTTAACATTTTTAATTTGAAATTTCACTTGACATTCTTGAAATCAAATACTTTTTTTATTTGTAAGATGAGAACTAACACTATCATAGTTTTTCTTAGGCATCCAAATAGTAATTGAGAATATGATATTCTGTCTGTTCAAGGCTGATTTTCATAGACTGCTACTGCTTATGTGTTGTCCTTGACCATGCAGATTTCTTTGAAATTACTGAGTCAAGAGACCTTTGTTTCCACAAGCTGGACAATTAGCCTTTGGGTTTACTTCCATGTTTTCGTGAATCCTGGAAACAGGTAACCTGAGACACAGCTCAAGTAATCACACCGACAAGCCAGTCATCAAATCTTACATGTTCATTTTCCTTTTTTCTTCAGGTCACTACCTTGGTGAATACGAGTAATAAAGGCCCGTCCAGCAAAAAGAAGGGACGCTCCAAGAAGGCTCATGTCCTGGCTGCCTCTGTGGAGCAGGCCACCCAGAATTTTCTGGAAAAGGGTGAGCAGATTGCCAAAGAGAGCCAGGATCTAAAAGAAGAGCTCATTGCTGCAGTTGAAGATGTTCGTAAACAAGGTGATGTACATGCTCCTCATTTCCAGATATTCCACTTACATGTACAGTATATGGGGGAAAAAAAAAAGATACGTTCTATCACATTTATCACTAGCGTTTAACGTTTGGCACTGGGATAATTTTGGTATATTATGTAACTCCTATTCTCCTATTAAATACATTCTACACATATTGCTTTGACTCATACAGTATGTGGTTACATTTTAATACTGTATGTGTTACATTTGATTCAAGTGAAGCTGAATAGTTTGCAAACTCTTTAGATTTTGTACAGATTGTCTAGGGCAGCACAGTGGAGGTTAGGATTGCTGCCTCGCAGTGATTGTGCCCTGGGTTCAGTTCCTGAGCTGCTAACTGCATGGGGTTCTCCATGTGTTTGTGTGGATTTCGTCCAGACAGGAGGTAGGTGAATTGGCCCCTGGGAAAATCGGTCCTGGTATGAGTGTGAGCATGTCAGTGACTGTGTGTACCCTGCAGTGGCCTGGTGTGCCCTTCAAGATATGTCCCGCCTTGCACCCATTGCTTTTTGGGATGGATGCTGACTACCTTGCAACCCTGTACTAGATAAAAGGGTCAGAAATCTGATGGACTGATCATCTTGAGACTGTTTGGCCAAGGGGAATTTTCCTCAAGTCAAACAATGACAAGCTTCTGCAAAATAATTTTGTGTCCTCGGTCTCTAGAAGGGATTTCTAAACTTTTAAACGTGTAGGTCTGTCAAAAGACAACCTGTGATTTGAGTTGGAAAATAAATAGTTTACTCCAGATAGTTTGGGAATGCACAATGGAATTTTTCATTGGAACAAAAAACTTTGAAAGGTGTCCTGAAAAAGCCCTAAAACCATTTAACTTTCTACCCACTTTCTTTTGGCACAAATTGACAAGTCTCTCCTTGTTCTTTTCAGAGTCTTCTTCAACTTTCTTTGCCAGTGAATTCAGAGACACGTTTCTTACAATTGAAACACACAGGAAAAGAGATTCATACCTCTGGAATTATTTAGAGTCCCGTATATATCATTTCCATGTTATGGAGTAAGAGAGTTTTTACGTTTTTATGACACAACCAGTTATATTAAATTTCTATTATTAAATCATCAACTGAACAGTGGCAATCCTTATTTACTATAATCAATGATTCCTTACCTACACATTGTTTACCACTCGATGGGCATTTTCAGTTCTAAAATATGACTGCCTAAGTATTTTGTTGTTTTTGTGTTTTGCATTTTTACATATTTCGTTTTTTTTTTCTACTCTGTAAAATATAATGATACGTTTTTACTTAATTTTTTTTTCATTAAAAGTGCAAAGCCCGGTATATTTGAGAAAATGTTTACACTTAATTTACAAATATTTTTTTGTGACAACCATATCTAGAAAACTAGAAAAATAGAGCCTATAAGCAAAGAATCTTGGACACTGCATCATGACTTAGCTGAAGTATAAAAAATATAAAAACTGACATGCTGTCCATTAGGAACAGCAGAAAAATCAATTCTAGTTATTTCTTCAGTTGTCCTTGAATGTGTGCTGAACTGAATTTAGCAGCTTATTCAATTAAAATGGTTGAAGTCAAATGTCAAGGTCACAGGTAGTTCTAATTACTTTTCAACATATTGTATATTGATCTTGTCTAATAGGAATTAGTCTCTCTTGAGAAGTGACAAAAGGTGAAATAATGTTTGTACACAAAGCTTATCATACAGTAAAACACAAATTTTCTTTACTAAATTTAATTTAACTTAAGTATAGTATATGTCAGATTTAAAAATGGACTAGAGTAAGCAAGGAAATAAACAATGAATGAATCTATTTTAATACCTTTCTGTTTAGAAATATCAGTTTGTATTGTAATCCTAAATGCACAACTGATAAAGTAAATACAGTATGTAATGTAGTGTTGTGTATTGTATAACAACAACTAATATATATTGTTTTAATGTGATTTTGTCTGTTACTTTTCTGTGGTTATACGGAACATTGTGGAAATAATTTGTTCTATCATTGCACCATTAATGGTTTAAATGTATCAATAGGATGAAAAATATAAAAGCCTTAATTTATGCTGCACATCTGTGCATTTTTGCTACCATCTTAAGAAATGTTTTTAATACTCAAGTGAAGACATATGTGAAAAAGTTGATCATCAGATTTAACAGAGATGAATTTTGTAACTAGTAAGCTGCACAACAAGGTTTCAACCCTGAATTTATTAATGTATCTTATAACATGTGTATAGACTATTAAAAAGAATAATTAATCATATTTGGGACTGGGGCTGGGATCTTTGATTTGTCACAAAATCTTTAATATGACGTGACACGGATCATTTAACATTTCAACATGTATTCGTAAAAGTAAAACTTGTTAAATTTCTTTGAACAAGCAGCAACAGTAATGAACTGTCAAAAGGCTTTCGTTAATGTTCCTCATAAAAGATTAATTTAGACAACAGGCATTCGAGGAGATGTATGAGTTTGAGTTGGTTAATAAACTGAAAACAGCATAGATAATGGGTGAATACTAAACTTTTGGTGATGTAATTAGTGGACTACTACAGGAATCTGTACTAGGACCACTGGTCTTCCTATCTCCAGTCAATGATTCTGGTACAGTTAATCAACTAGTCAGGAAAGCAAAGACAGGGAGATCAGCATACTTTATGAAACCACAAATTAAATTCAAAACAATTTAAATAAAATTAGACTGGACAAACAAACAATAGGTGATGTTTCATGTTAATAAGTATTACCGTATATGTAGTTCAGGTGGGTAGCTGCGTCCATGCTGAAGAGAGAAGAAAGGAAACACCGTAACATTCCTTTCTTCTCTTTTCAGCACGAAATAAACCTATTACTTGTTCCATTACCGTATACTGAGTGTGCAGTGACAAAAAACATAAACATATACAGTAAGTATACAGAATGGAAAAAGTTGACCTTGAAGTGTCTTAAAGAAGAATTTGGTGTTATGTTGACACCTCATTTACATATTGTGGACAATGTGAGGAAGAAATAAAAAAGGCAAACAGGATTAAAGGAATGTGTTACACTGACAGGCTAAAGGATCAGAAGGTTTTTAGACTTGCACACAGATGATTACAAGGGGGCCTGATCCAAATATTTAACATCCTCAAAGGTACTGACAAAGTCAATCAACTGGAATTCTTCAGAATACAACAGTGAAACACAAACCAAAGAACAGAACTGACCTGTTTAAGTGCCTTACAACCAAGAACAGGAGGCACTTCTTTGTATAGTGTGAGTATTGTGTGTGTATGGAACAGAGCTGGCTTGCTACAGTATGCTGTTGAAGGTGATTCCCTTCAGAAAGTTCTATCAGAAAGTGGCCTGATGTCATCCTTGGATCAATGAGCCTACTCTAGTTTGCAGCCCTCTTTAAGTCCCAAAATTGTAGATTCATCTTAGGTGATTGTCAGATGCTTACTTTAAAACACCTTGGTCCCTCCATATACAATATGTAGGATTATGGATAACAGAATTATTACATTTTACTTTTTTTAGGTTTTAAAACTTGTGATATTTAAAATCTAGTGCTTTATTCTGTCCCAATGATTTCTCAATATCGCTCCCAAATCATATTGAAATCTCTGTTGTACTTTATCTCTCCTTGGAATATCAGCTTGTCTCTCACTTCCTTCTGATTTATTTCTGTCCTTTCCTGTGCTGAAGATATTTAATAATGCTTATCTTTGGCTGATATACAGCAGTGCAGCACTGCATTTGAATCAAAATATACCCAAAGGGAAAAAGAGGAATGCAGAGCATTACATTACCAATACCTTCATCAAACGTACTTGCAATCTCAGTAAAATGCAGGTGGTATATTTTTAAAAATCCTCGTAGAAATAAATTCCTGTAACTCTAGTTTCTGTTCAACAATATCTAATTAATGTGTTATTGCTTATTAGTAGTGAGGCTACTGTCATTCATCTTGCTGAGATTCTGTTCACATGGAGTTTTGCCAAACCAATTATTAATAGTTTAAAGCTTATACTTTATACATCTAAACGAACAGATATGGTTTGTTATGTGAAAGACAGACCTTTAGAAAACTTTCAACTATTTTATGTTGAACTGCAGCAAAATCAATCAACGGCACAAGGAATACATTGTAATTGCTTACTCTTGTGTGAATAGTTTTACAGATTTGCTTTACATTACAGGAGTTACAACAGGATGCGTTGAAGAACAGTCGACTTTTTTAGATTTGTTTTTTTCTAATTATGCTTTCTCTCTTTAAAGAAAGACGGCCTTCCAATTTTCAGCTTTTAGCTGATCTTTGCAGTTTACATCCCATCAGAGATTGTTGGACTTTTAATAGCGGTCTAGATGTTTTCCTGAATATCTGTTTTTTTATCAGATTTGTTAGATGATTAAATCAATTCAAGCTTTATTGTCTCTTGGGGGGAAATTTGTTTTAATGCCCATTCCAATACAGCAAAAAGACACAAGACAAGAAGACAGGACAGCAGAGTACTGCACAGGGGATGAAAGACGGAAGTAAGAATTCACAGGGAAGCAGTGTGCCAAACACTCCATACTGATCTTAACCTTCGTTACAATCCTCTGTGTGAAGAGGATATTTAGATTGATTTGATTTGCCGCAATAATTTTGCTGCCCATCTTCACAATTGTCCCAACCTGTTACTACTACCAATTCTTGTACTGATGCAACAAGTGAGACAATACAGTATGTTAAAATACTTTCAATAAATGATTTGTAGAATAATGTTAAAATAGTTCTACCTACCGTAAAATAGCTGAGTTTCTTAAGAAAACTGTGTACTTTTTTTTTCATTCTTTCTTACATTAATTGATTTATAGTACATTTTGACGAACGTAATATATAAATGTTAAAGGTATGGAAACTGAAGGTAAACTGAAAGTATATGTGTATATGTTACAGTTAACGTGATACAAACATATATACAGTAATTTCATCAATAAATTCCCAACCATAATTATTTACCCAGAGTA